GGGCTGAGTGATGATCTATACAATGCCTGCGTGGACCCAGGCACACCGAATCACCTACACGAGTGCTACATCACCGCTGAAGAAGCCGAGATCAATATGACCAGAAACTGGTACCGAGTGGGGTGAGTACGGAAGAAATTCCCACCCCAATGGAAGCAAGAGCCCCTTAAACCACAAACCGCATTTTCTCTGAAATCCTCAACCTGTTTCAAGTGTGGAAAGGAGGGGCACTGAGTTGCAGAGGGTCGTTCGCAAACACCCGCCCAGAGGGGAAACTTGTGAAACTTGCGAAACCTGGCCAGCGCGGGAAGGAGACTGCCCTGAGGAGCAGGAAGATCATAGAATTTCCATCCCCCCCCCTTTGGGGAGGAAACCCCAGCATCTCAACAGGAGGAATCACACTCATTCAGAAGCGATCCAGAAGATGAACCACTGGTAAGCAAATTAACTAAACCACTTACCCTCCCCTTAAGACTATTTATCCCAAACCGGGACAGGGAGACAAATATCTCCATTTTAGTGAACTCAGGGTGCACCTGCTGTTTGATCAGCCCAACCCTAGTATGGAAGTTGGGGATTAACATAAGAAAGCTGAAAAACCTCATCATTTTCTGCCAACTAGATGGGTCAATAGCAGGGTGGGAGCCAGCTTCTTTTGCCACCAAGCCTTTACATATAGACATCGGGAGCCACGAGGAAATACTTACATGTATAGTGGCACCTGGCATGGAATGGCTGTTTGTCTTGGGCCTTGCTTGGCTGAAAAAATGGAACCCCAAAATTAATTGGAATCAAGGCATCATAAAATTTCAGATGCATGTGATTTTTGCCGAGAATCCACATAAAGAAACTGAGGGGGCAGAGCACTGAGAAACAGCCATGCCTAGTCACATCATGCCAACCGAGGGCATACCCATAGAATAGAAGGATTTGGCTGAAGTCTTTAGCAAAAAAGCCTCAGATGAGCTCCTCCCCCACCGCGCCACTGACTGTGCGATAGAAATCTTACCCAGCACTAAACTCCCTAAACCCAAGATGTACAGCATGTCCCTGAGGGAGCTGGAAGAACTGACAGCATTTATTGAGAAAAACCTAGCAAGGGGTTTCATCGAGCCAGCCTGACCAAAAATCGCAGCTCCAGTGTTATTTAGAGAAAATAAAAGATGGCTCAAAACGTTTCTGTGTTGATTTTAGGAATTTAAATACAATCAATGTGGAGAATATGTACCTCCTCCCCCTTATGAAAGATATGCTAGCACACCTCGCTAAAGGGAAAAAATTTTCAAAGCTGGACTTAAAGGAGGCTTACTACCGTGTCAGAATTAAGGAGGGGGATGAGTGGAAAACGGCATTTAACACCCCCCTTGGGTGCTACTAATTCAAGGTGCTCCCCTTTGGATTACAAGGTCCCCACGCAGGGTTTATGCAGTTAATAAATGAAGTACTACATCAGCATTTGTATAAGCGGGTCCTGGTCTACTTGGACAACATTTTAATATACATTGAAACCAAAGCAGAACATGTAAAAGTCTTAAACAAACTCTGCTCTGCCAAACTTTATGCTAAACTTTCTAAATGTGAATTCCACCAAGAAAAAATAGACTATTTGGGGTACCACATTTCACACCAGGGCTTAGAAATGGATCCTCAAAAAGTGCAGGCTGTACTTGATTGGGAACCATCGCACATGCGTAAACAGTTACAAAGCTTCCTTGAATTCGCCAAGGAATACTGCCAGTTTATCCCCACTTTTGCTCAGATTGCCCTCCCCATTACCAAGCTCTTAAAAACGAAGGGAGAGGACAACCCTAAACGGAAGCAGCCTTTGAACTGGACAATGGAATGCCAAGCAGCATTTGAAAAACTTAAACAGCAGTTCTAAGCAGAACCAATTCTAAAACACTAGGACACAGAGAAACCATTTGTCATACAAGCAGATGCCAGCAATGTGGCAAAAGGAGTGGTCCTGCTTCAGAAAAATGAGCAAGACCAGCTACAACCATGCACTTACACATCCAAAAAGTTGAATGAGACTGAACAAAGGTGGACCATTTGGGAGAAAGAGGCTTACACAGTTCGTTGGGCACTTTTAACCTGGAGGCATTTCCTAGAGAGGAGTAAGATGCCTTTTGAAGTCTGGACTGATCATAAAAATCTAGAAGCCCTAAAGACCCCAAGGAAACTCTCCCCGAAACAAGTACGATGGGCTCAGTACTTTAAACAGTTTGATTTTACTCTCAAATTTCTCCCTGGGGGAGAAAACTTTCTGGCAGATGCACTATCCAGAAAACCGCAATACAATGGTGCAAAGTCAGACATAATCAAACCCATAGTACAAAACAATCAACTGGCTGCTAAAGTAATCACCAGATCCCAGGCAAAACAAGAAACATTGACGGACAATGACACCACCCAAACTTTTAAACAAGCATTGGCCACCAATGAATGGTTTTTGAACCACAAATCCAGCTGTCTGATGAAAGAGGACTTGGCTTGGGTGGGAGGGAAGTTGTATGTTCCAGACAGCCAAAGACTATGCTTAATGGCAAGGTGCCACGACTCCAAATTAGCTGGATATTTTGGTTTTGTGAAAACTTTACACCTAATTAAAAGACAATTTTAAGAGCCTGTAGTACAGTGGACTAAAGCACTGTTATTAACATCTGCTGCTTGCAATTACTGCAAGTTCAAATCCCACCAGGCTCAAGGTTGACTCAGCCTTCCATCCTTTCAAAGGTAGGTGAAATGAGGACCCAGATTGTGGGGGCAATAAGATGACTTTGTATAAATATACAAAGGTATGAAGGCTATTGCTTAACACATTGTAAGCTGCCCTGAGTCTCTGGAGAAGGGCGCCATATAAATTAAAGCAAAAAAAAAAAAAATTGGTGGCCATCACTAAAAAAGGACATAGAAAGCTATGTAGCAAGCTGCCCCATTTGTGCAGCAGCAAAAAGACGTCAGGGGAAAACCCCAGGACTCTTACAGAAAGTAGCTGAGCCTTCAGCGCCATGGAGAGAGAGTGCTATGGATTTTATTGTAGAATTGCCAGACAGTGCTGGAAATACTGTTATTTGGGTTGTGAGAGACCTGTTTTCAAAACAGGCACATTTTATACCTTGCCAAAAGATCCCAACTGCTAAACATTTAGCCAGATTATTCCTAATACACATTTATCGGCTTCATGGAGCTCCACAAAAGATCATCTCTGACAAAGGGGTCCAATTCACCTTCAAATTTTGGAGAGAATTTTTGAGCTTACTTGGCATTGCCCAGGGGTTGATCTTATCTCATCACGTGTGTACTAACGGAAATTCTGAGAGGATGAACTCGGTGCTAGAACAATATTTAAGATGTTTTATTAATTTTTAACAGGATAACTGGACAGAACTTTTACCTTTTGCTGAAGTTGCATTTAATAACTGTACACTCAAGCACTGGTTTTACTCCTTTTTGAATAGCAACAGGCCAGGATTTCAGCCCCATGCCTGAACTACCCACAGAAGAACTCACCATCCCCTCACTTAAGAAGTGGATGGATAATTTGCAAAACACATGGCCAGTGGTTAGATTGGCCTTAACTGAAGCTAGAGAGGCTTTTAAAATTCAAGCTGACAAGAAAAGGATGGAACCCAAACCGTTCCGTGTTGGAGATAGAGTATACTTATCTACAAAATTCCTGAAATCATTACAACCATCAAAGAAACTAGGGCCAAAGTTTATTGGACCTTTCCCCATCACTAGAATCATCAATCCAGTAGCAGTTGAACTACTCCTTCCAAAGACACTTAGGCAAGTCCACCCAGTATTCCATATTAGTTTACTCAAGAGAGAAGTAATCTCATCCCTTAGACCACCTGCATCTACACCACCCGTTCCCATCATGGTTGAAGGTGAACAACAAGGAAATCAAGGAAATCCTTGACTCTAGGATCCACAGAGGGAAAATCCAATACTTAGTTGCTTGGAAACATTTACCCTCATCCCAAAACAAATGGGTCGCTAAACACCATTTTAGGACTCCTATCTTACTGAGAAAATTTCACTCCCAATACACTAACAAACCTTGTTAATATACTATAATGGATTTTTTTCGTTTATATCTTTTCATAGATGGATCCTTTCTTTTTCTAAGGAGGCAGCATATCAGATCCCTAAAAGTGATACTGCCATTCAATTGGGAGAAGGGTGGGTGGGCTTGGATTCGATTTATTAGCATTGCCTGTGCCAACAGATATTTTACAACCTATATCCTGGCGCCAAAGAGCCCTGAAATCTCCTTAATTTTGGGGCAATGTTTATGACGGTCATGTGGGCTGTTTCACTTTAAAGGAAATGGAGGATAGGGATAGGAATACATACTTATCTGGTTCTCAGGGCAGCTGGTAAAGAAAACATCTTCATACTTGTGTATTGGCTAAAATCTGCATTCTGGCTAAAGGGGTGGTGTTGTCTCTACTGCTTTAATCCTACTTGTCTTGCCTAAGGGTATTCAGATGTTGCTTTGAATCCATTGCTGTCACTTTTGCTTAATAAAAGGTTCCTTTTGAAATACTACATTTCAAGAGTTCGTAGTTTCTTAAGTTAGAAGGCGAGGCAATCCTTACAGATAGTGAACTTGTATGGTTGCCCTGCTCTCCAGCCAGGGACTCACCCAATTACTACTACTTCTTCAAGAAGCAGTCTGAGAGCATCCAGCTACTCAGGAGAGCAAAAGGGTTGATTTCAAGTCCTCCCCTTTCCTGGTGTGTGTATGTTGTTCTTCTGGCTTAGAAAATATTCTAAACCTGTAACTGTGGAGAAAATTTAACAGAGATCAACTATCTCTACTACTTCAAGAGCTGGAGGCTCTGCCGGAAGTCCAATTGCGTTTTGTATAAGAAGAAAATATTTGTGGACACTAATGTCTATTTTATGTGTATTCCTAGCCATTTCTCATTTGCTACTGGTTTTTTTGTGGTCTATTGATTCATTTTTTTCTTTGTTTTCCCCAATTGTAGAACTTGAAGCGTGTAATGGCAGATGAGGTAAGAGCAATTGTGCTATATATTTTTGGCATTAACTGATTTTGTGAGTTATCTATAAATCCTGATACAAATTTTGTGCATTCTCTTCCCTGGGTTGTTATTAGCTTTCTGATTGCTAATTTTTCTCTTTTGTGTTTTCCTTGATAGAGTATATTAACCATTTTTAAGGATGGTATAGTATTCTTGTCTCTGTTACTGTATTCCCTGATGTTATTTTTTTTTGCAAGGGATGTGTGTACATGTTTAATGATATCATTTAATGGTATCTTTTGTGGAAGCTGAGTCACTTTGACTCTGGCTTCCAGTTTGCTCAATGGATAAATCTATAATCTGCACCAACAGATTGAAAGAGAGCTTCCTTGGTTATTTTTTTAGAATGGGCCTGGAAGATAACATATGTTACCTCCCTTCTTTATAAAAATCTGATTCTCTGAACTATTCCTATACATAATAGGCATTATGATGATAGGCAAGCACAAGAGTCCCCATTGTTTTCTCTTATCTTTAAGTATCTTGATACTTAATTTGGAGTATTGTTAGTTCTTAAATATGCTTCTAGTGAAAAAAATAGAAATTCTAAATAAATCTTTGTATCCCAAAGGTGGTGGTAATCAGGGTGGATTTGATTTAAATCAAGTCGATTTAAATCATGATTTAAATCATGATTTAAATCACTAGTAAAAAGACTTGATTTAAATCAACTCGATTTAAATCATAATTTTTAAAGAGCAACTGTCATCTCTGCTACTCCTTTGATCCGCTGTTGACTCACCGATAGTCCTGGTGTTGCAGAATATACAGCCTTGTGCTACATAACTAAACTCCATTTCATGCTGAATAAACTAAATTATTTATGTATCTTAAATAGAAAACTATCTTACGATAGATTTTTACCCCAAAAGTTTTTTATTAAAATAAATTCAATAAAAATAAAAAAAATCTGATTTAAATCAAAAAATCCCATTTAATTCAAAAAAATCCGATTTAAATAAAAAAAAATCTGATTTTTTTTATTTTTTTAAAAAAATCATTGATTTTTATCCACCCTAGTGGTAATGGATTGTTCATCAGTAAACAAACTGAAACTTAATTTAGATGAGAGTGAACTCTGATGGTTATAAAATGAACCTATTCAAGGACAGGATACTTTGCTTTGGATAATGTTGCATGCCTCTTTAATATAGAAATTGAGAGAGACTGCTTTTAGCTGGTTGAGTGACACAATGAAAACTGCAGAAACTGTCCTATCCCATTTTAAAAGAAAACATTTCAAATATTATTCAAAAGGTAAGCATTTTGTTTCCACCCATTTTTCTGAGGTGCCAGGCTTGGTATAAAACTGAAGAATTTTAATTGATTTACCCCTATAGAGTACTGTATCTTTGTTGTGTCTGGGTTTTTTTTGGGGGGGGTTCTGGGATACAAAGAGGCATGGCATAGCTAGTTGGCAAGCAAATTCACAAGCTGGAAAGGGGTTAGAAGAATCAGGATTGTCTTAGTATAGTGGCTTGTGAAAATATACTATATTATTCAGAGAAGCAATAGGAGTAAGCTGAAACAATGAGATAAATTAAAAAGTGGCATTCATAGTTTTGCCATCCCTAATCCTAGAAACACATACAACATTGTTTTAAATGTGTTATAGCTACCAATTTTAGCAAAAGAATAAAAAGCAGTACTTTAATCATACGTTTATTCTTTGAAACTCATGCTAATGCTTGGGATAGTCCCTATATTATACACTTGTTCAATCATTGTCAAAAAGTTTAAATCTGCCCTAATAAAGAGTTTGACCCAAGAGTGCATATTGAGTTTCCTTGAATCAATCCTCCATCTTGAGCCCATATGGATTGTAACATTATTGTCACAAGGGACAATGAGTTTATTTTATTTCTTTATTTTTATTTTATTAAATTTCTATACCGCCCTTCTCCCAAAGGACTCAGGGCGGTAAACAGCCAGAGGATAAAACACAGAGATACAAAATTTAAAATAGATTAAAACAAATTAAATAATTTAGGCTGAATTTTAAAATACCCCATAATTAAACAGATTAAAATTTGTGTTAAAAATTTAAATTTAAAAAAGGAGAAGATTTAGGCCAGGCCAGTTTGATGAAATAAAAACGTTTTAAGCGCGCAACGGAAGGTGCGAAGATCCGGGATCCTCCGTATCTCCGGGGAGAGCTCGTTCCAGATTGTAGGTGCCCCCACAGAGAAGGCTCTCCCCCTAGGGGCCGCCAGTCGACATTGTTTGGCCGACGGCACCCGGAGGAGCCCCTCTCTATGGGAGCGTACTGGCCGGTGGGAGGCTATTGGTGGTAGCAGGCGGTCCCGTAGATAACCAGGTCCTAAGCCATGGAGCGCTTTAAAGGTGGTAACCAAAATCTTGAAGCGCACTCGGAAGACCACCGGGAGCCAGTGCAGCTCGCGCAGGAGAGGTGTTACATGGGAGCTCCACGTTGCTCCCATCACCACCCACGCGGCCGCACTCTGCGCCAGTTGGAGCCTCCGAGTGCACCTCAAGGGGAGCCCCATGTAGAGAGCGTTACAATAGTCCAGACGAGAGGTGACGAGGGCATGAGTGACTGTGTGTAGGGAGTCCTGATCTAGAAAGGGACGCAACTGGCGGATCAGGCGAACCTGAGGAAAAATCCTCCCGGTCACGGCCGTCAAGTGCTCTTCTAAAGACAGCCGTGAATCCAGGAGGACGCCCAAGTTGCGAGCCCTTTCCGTGGGGGCCAATGATTCACCCCCAATAGTCAGCGAGTTAAGACTTAAATGGCACATCAAAGATATTGAGAGGTGAGAAAGTAAATACAGTTCAAAATAATATTAGCTTTGCCATCCCAAAAGAGTCAATTTAATAGTTTAATAAAACAACTCCTTAAAGTGGGCATAATTTCAGTAACAGATTATTCATTAGCCATTCTGCATTTAATCTTCTCACTGGCCTCTCTGTTTGGAATTGCAACAGTGTTGTGTGGATGTGTGTGTTGTATACAGCAGCAGAAAAGAAATCAATTTTGTAAAGCATTTTGCAGACGTTTGATTCAATACTTGTGAATCTCTACTTTGATATGTAATCTCTTTTAATGGAATGATTCAGTTGAAACTTTGGTGAAAGGCCCACTAGAAGCTTTGCACAGACAGCCCTGGTAATTAGCAGAATTGCATGAAGAGATTTAAAAGAACATTGATTTTGATTTTTCCAATATATTGCCAAAGTACTCACACATTATAGTTAAGAAAGTAGCACAATTTAAAATTGAATGGAAAAGAATTGAAAAAGAACACTGATGTTAATTTTATATTTTATTAATCAGCTTGAAAGGTTCACCAGTATGAGGATAAAGAAGGAGAAGGAAAAACCCAATACAACATATAGGAATTCATCTACTTCATACTCAGATATTTCTGGGTCAGGTCAGACATTGCAGGATATCTCTGATGAAGATGTGCTGGTTCTCTTTGAGCAGATGCTGGTAAGTACCATTACAATTATATCTTGAGAATAACAAAGCTAAAAGTTTCCTATGCTTATAGTTATTCTGAAATGAAAGTGTGATTTCTGTGATGTGAAAAATTCTTTCTGCTCTGAGAAGGAAGACTTTGATTTGTTTTTCTACTACAGCAAGTAAACAAAAATCCTAAAACCAGAATTCATTTGGGAGAAATCAAGTATTGTAATTTTGTCAAAGGAATATAGCTTCACCTAGTAGGGATGGTGTATGGAATCATTCCTGCAGTGTACATGAGGATAGACTTGATGATTTCCTAGATACCTCCCAACTCGATAATTCTATGACTATTTTTATGCTTTCTTTGCTAGGTGGATATGAATCTAAATGAGGAAAAGCAGCAGCCTTTAAGGGAGAAAGACATTAGTATCAAGAGAGAAATGGTGTCTCAGTACCTGCATACTTCCAAAGCTGTGAGTTCTTGGATTGTGGTCAAATTTATAGAATACTTCTAGGGTTTGCTTGATTTATGTTGCAGGATAAGTGAAACTGATTAAAGATAATCAAGCAGCACATTTGTGAGCATGGAGAAAAGAGCAAGAAGATTACTAGAAGCAGGCATGGGTTTGTAAAAACAACATACTAGACAAACCTTATTGCCTTCTTTGACAAGGTGATTAAATTACTGGATAAGGTGAATGCTATGGATGTACTTTACTTAGACTTCAGTAAGGCATTTGACAAAGTAGTCTATAGCCTACTTGGTAAGATAGAAAAATGTGGAATAGACAGTACCACCAACAAATGAATTCCAATGGAATTACATCTACATCAGCGGTTCTCAACCTGGGGGTCGCGACCCCTTTGGGGGTCGAAGGGCCATTTCACAGGGGTCGCCAAAGCCCTCTCTCCCCCCCCCCACGCCTTCACTCACCCTCACCCTCTGCGTTAGATTGCCGTTCGCCGTTCGCTTACCCCGCCCACTCCCAATCTATTGCTGCCTCCGGAGTCCCAGCTGATGGCTAGAGGGAAAAAAACTTTAAATTCTTGCCGCGGGGCTTCAAAGGGCCGCCCTACAGCTGATCAGTGTTAAAAGAAAAATGAATAGACCGGTGCCTGCAAAAATAGAAAAAACAGCCCCTTTCAGCTTCAACATACCGTATTTTCCGGCGTATAAGATGACTGGGCGTATAAGACGACACCCAACTTTTCCTGTTAAAATATAGGGTTTGGGCTATACTCGCCATATAAGACTACCCCTCTTCCAATGCACACCAAATAAAAATTAAAAAACATCAACTGGCTCACCTACAATGTAAAAGCAGCTGTGCTAGTCCCAAAATGGCCCCTGCAACAAGCAGGAACCTCACACAGCCACAAAAAGCCCCCCAAAAAACTTTCACACTCTACACACACACACAACACAACTGGCTCACCCACAATGTAAAAGCAGCTGTGCTAGACCCAAAATGGCCCCTGCAACAAGCAGGAACCTCACACAGCCACAAAAAGTCCAAAAAAACAACTTTCACACTTTACACACACAAAATTCCACATACAGCTATGTGAGATTTTGTGTGTTTGTGTAGTTAGAGTGAATCACTACAGAAACACACTAAATCTCAGAAAGCTGCACAAATATTATTTTATTTTATTTTATTTTTATTTTTATATGAAAGCTAAATTTAAAACTTCCTGAACTTTAAATGGCTAGGTCTAAAAAAGAACAACTAAAAAAAACCCAATTGACTATTTTTTTAAAGCTCCCAAAGGGGAAAAAAACTTACCCAATAGAACAGGGGTCTCCAACCTTGGCAACTTTAAGACTTGTAGACTTCAACTCCCAGAATTCCTCAGCCAGCTTTGCTTTGCTGGCTGAGGAATTCTGGGAGTTGAAGTCCACAACTCCCTGCTTGCTTGATTGCAGGCAGAGAGTTGCTTGCTGATGGAATAGATTCAGGCAAGCGAAGCAAGGCAAGCGTTGCGACTAGCAGCTGAGGTAAGCAAGCTGGAGGGGGAAAACTTTTTCCCTTTTACATGGCTCTGGCGATCCCAGCTGAGTTGCAGGGAACTCAGCTGGGATTGTCAGAGCTGGGATCATCAGAGCTGGGACCATCAGAGCCATGGTTCTGGCGATCCCAGCTGAGTTGCAGGGAACTCAGCTGGGATTGTCAGAGCTGGGATCGTCAGAGCTGGGACCGTCAGAGCCATGGTTCTGGCGATCTCAGCTGAGTTGCAGGGAACTCAGCTGGGATCGTCAGAGCTTGGATCGTCAGAGTAAAAGGGAAAAAACTTTTTTCCTTTTACATGGTTTCTGGCGATCCCAGCTGAGTTGCAGGGAACTCAGCTGGGATCGACCGTCAGAGCTGGGACTGTCAGAGCCATGGTTCTGGCGATCCCAGCTGAGTTGCAGGGAAATCAGCTGGGATCGTCAGAGCTTGGATCGTCAGAGTAAAAGGGAAAAAACTTTTTTCCTTTTACATGGTTTCTGGCGATCCCAGCTGAGTTGCAGGGAACTCAGCTGGGATCGTCAGAGCTGGGATTGTCAGAGTAAAAGGGAAAAACTTTTTTCCTTTTACATGGTTTCTGGTAATCCCAGCTGAGTTGCAGGGAACTCAGCTGGGATTGTCAGAGCTGGGATCGCCAGAGCCATTTAAGGCTCGTCAGAGCCTTTCGGGCTGGTCTGCCTGGTTACAGGAGAACGACACCCGGCGTATAAGACGACCCCCGACTTTTGAGAAGATTTTCATGTGTTAAAAAGTCGTCTTATACGCCGGAAAATACGGTAGGTTAATTATATAAGTTGATTTGATCAGCCTCCGGACTCTCAGCTGATTTGCTCTCAGCTGTTTTGCGGAGGGCTCTTTTGCTAGCTAGCTGCAAAGAGGTAAATTCCTGGAGCAGATTTTTTTTCCCCTAGCTATGCTGAAAAAGCGAAATTGAAAGTAAAGCAGGGTCTTTGCTGCAACGTGACAAAATGAGGCAGAGAGAGATTTCTTTTTCTTTTTCCTCACCAAAAAAGGTAGGTGCAAAACTGCAAACAATGGGAAATTTAGGGCAAAAGAGGAGATTCAAGATTTTAAAACACAAAAGAAAAAAAGCTCTATTTAACTAGGGAATTGTAATAATTGAGATACTATTAATTGTATATTGTGTTGAAAGCAGAAATGTGTTGTGTTGAAAGCAGAAGTTGTGGTTTGGAGGAATATATGGGGGAAATTATTTGGTTTATTATTATTGGTAAATATAATTAATTGATTTGTAAGAAATTGGATTGCATGGAAATAATTGGAATATTCATGTTCATATTGATTAATATACAAAAAAGATAGTTATATAACTAATTTATATTAAAATGTTGAATTTGTATTAAACAACTGTATTACATAATTACATAATTAACCAATGTGAGGATGGATATAAAAATAGATGACAATGCGAAGGGGTATAATATAGAATAGAAGGGAAAAATTGAATTTGATTAAGATTAGAGATGAGGATGAAGGGTAATATTGGTTTTTTTAAAAAATAGATGAGGAATAAATATGGTAAAAAGGAAATATAGAAATTGTAAATTTAATTGAAATGACTAAACACTGTGTTGGAAGAAATATCCTTCTGGGTTCTGCTCCAAGTGGGGAAAAAGACACTGGAAACATGGAGACTGCTTGGAAAGATGGTTTAATGGTGGACAGGATCACGTGGCTTGAGTTCCTGAACAGAAAAGGAGCAGATACAGTAAATCCTCGGGTTTTTATGCTCTCTCTGGCTTTGCATTTCTTTGGGCCCCGAAAGAGTATCCTGATTGGTTGTCAGACTCCCAGGGGGTGGGGGTCTTAGCTAGCCTTGCTGGCTGATGGTCACATGTGCTTCCCAGGTCACATGCTTCCCAGGTCACGTGTGGTGAGTTTCGGTTGCTAGATGGGGCCCATTGTGTTAGTTTCTGTTGCTATTGTGTTGCAAATGTCCTTTGACAAAGGATTGACTTTCTGCCTCTGGTCCATTAACAAAGGGTGGGGGGCAGGAAGGTGGGAGCTGCTTTGTCTGTAAAATATGCTTCTCCATTTCTCATCCAGGGAAATATAATATTCTGCCTTTTTAATATTTCCCAAAATATTTCATTCTTCTAGGAAAGGGGTGGGTGCTAACCTCCTACAACTGTTTAAATTTGTGAACCAGCCAAATACTCTGTTCAAAGAAAATACGTTATATGTTTGTATGTGTGTTTCTAATTATTGCTATTTATTCCTGTTTGTTCTCTTTTATTCTTTAAAGTTTAACAATTCATTCTTTATCTTAATATCTTTATATTTGTTTGGGGTTGGCTTTCTTCCCTTTCATCTTTTTTATTGTACAGCAATCTTTCTCCTCAAACCTACCACCTCTGTCTTTTCTTTCCTTCTTACTTTCTCTTCCCCCCCTCTTCTTCTTCTCCCTACTTCCTCTTCCTTTCTCCTTCTCCTCCTCTCTTCCTCCCTCTCTTACCCTCACTCCTACTCTAATTTCCCTTCCCTTCCTTCATCCCTCTCTATTGCTGTATCCTTTTATGCATATGGACTACTCAGAGGGCTGAAAAAGTTATTTTTGACTGGTCCTCGCACTTTTGACCAGTCCTCGAATTTACGACTGTCCTCACATTTTATGTTTTTTGCCCTATCTTATCACCATGTTGAAGAGAAGCAGTTGTGAAATGAGTGACATGGTTGTTAAGAATGCTGCACAGGCATAAATGTGAGGATGGTCATAAGAGTGAGGACCAGTCAAAAGTCCGAGGACCTGTCAGAAATGACTTTTTTCAGCCCTCTGAGTAGTCCCTATACACATAGCCATGGCCACCTGGTCACATGACCAGCTAGCCATGCCCACCCAGTCACATGACCTCCAAGTCACACCCACAAAATAAGCCACGCCCACAGAACCGGTAGTAAAAAAATTTAGAACCCACCCCTGGTTGGGGGTCACCACAACATGAGGAACTGTATTAAAGGGTCGCGGCATTAGGAAGGTTGAGAACCACTGATCTACATGGAGGGAAGCCTGCAATGGGATACCTCAAGGTTCTGTCTTGGGGGACAGTAATCTTCAACATCTTCATAAATGATCTAGATGAGAAGATAGAAGGGAAACTCATTCCCTTAGCGAACATTCAAAGTTACACGATATGCGTCTCCTAGCATTTATTTATTTATTTAAATTTTAAAACAAAACTTTATTCATTCTTAAAAAACATTTAAAACATACAAGTTTCTCTTAATCAAAAACAAATTTACATATACAGTACACAACTTCACCTACTGACTAATTTCTATTATATATACATATATACATACATACAGTGACTTATTTCCTTTTCTATCCATCTGACAGTGCTATTTTTAATTGTATTGATTTCTTCTGGATTTCATCTTTACCCATTCCCCCTCCTCTGGTTTATCCACTGGTATCATCTATTCCATATTGTAAAATATTTTGA